GGCTCACAGACACACACCCAATGAAAGAACAGACCATTCCAAGCCTTTACTTGTTGTTAAACAAATATTTAAACAGCTCTATTCAATTAGTAGCATCCGTTAAGTTTGTAGAAAGTTTTGGTGAAATATTTAAAAGGCTTGTCAAGATTAAGCTAAGATAATGCGCTGTAATAATTATGACAAAATTCCTACATAACTTATGAATTTTACACAATGTTTCATATACTTGTATACAAAGATGAATAACCAAAGCTTATACTGTTCATGTACATAAATATGAACTGTATAAAACTTATACTGTGCCTTTGCATAAAAATGAATCGTACAAACATGTTCTATATAAAGATGTGTGCATAAACATAACTTCTACAAACATTTCTTGTACATGTTGAAGAAAGTGAATTATACGAAGATTTTACTGTCCAGGTACATAATCATTCTATGCATCTACAGAATGTGAATTCAACAAATCTTGTATTCTATATGCATATATAGATATGAATTACGCAACACTTACACTACATATTGTTTATCAACATAAAGTACAGAAAGTTCTATACGCAAATAAACATGAATTGCACAAAATATACACTGTTCATGTACTTGTACCTAAATTGCACAAAACTTTAACTGCACATGTACATGAATTATACAAAGGTTTTACAGTAGATTTTACATGAAAATGAGTTTGTTACTGTACGCTGTACTTGTTCTTAAACAAAATTCTACGGAAGCTTTACTATATGTGTATGTAGAATTAATACTTATGTATCAATGTTGGTGATGATTTAAGAATGGAAATTAAATAACGTACGCACTCAATTTTCCAGGAGATAATATAATTAAGATCTATAGATTTAGTTAGAAATAAATTTTATTTCAACTTAATTAACAAAAATATTTACTATTAATTACGAGTTTTAGATCAAGGGAATAGCGCAGATCATACAGTTGATTTTCAAGGCTGAATTTAAATTTTTCAGATAAATGGCAGTCTTAAGCTTTCAAGCAAGTTTAAAAGCTTAATTGCTCTAAAAAGGAATGAGCAAGAAAAGGACAGTTAAGCTATGAAATATAATTCACTTTAGCTTTTAAGAATGTTTCAGGAATCAGAATAAAACGAATTAAATTAAGAATTTAATAAAGTATCAATTAAGTTACATTACGTTAATGTGATTTAGTGTTGAGCTTAAAAGTTATATTTAAAAAACGAAAATCAAAATCGCAATAGCTTAGAAAACAAAAATTATTTGAAAAGCTATAAAACCAGCATTAGCTTCCCTTAATTGGAGAGAATGACGTTCAAGCCTGCGTAACAAAAAATCGATAATTGGCATTTCGTGTTCGTCATAACGAGCTCTCGGTTTCCAGCTAAGAGAAGATAAGACTACTTTCTTAATTGAAAAATTATCCTCTTGTTTAGAAAAAGAAAACAGATAAGACTGCTGTAGTCGGAATGATGTTTAGGACTTGCAATCGGAAGATAGGAAAACGTTTCACGTCAATTACTTTCGAATTAAAGGGTTAGATAAGATTTTATTTTTTGATAGTGGTGCAGAAACGTTGTCAAAGATAACACAGTTGTTGTTGATTTTTAAAAAACAAAATTATCAAAATTTTGTAGCATGATCTTTGAGTAGTTAAAATATGTCTTTAATTAGTTAGATATCGTTAAAGATGAATCATATCTCAAATCTGTAATATTCGAAATATACCACAATAATTACCTGAAATATCAATACAATTACAATTAGATTTAATGATATACCCACACGTGCTGTTTGAAATCACTATGAAATTATATAGTAAAACAGTATGCTTTCGAAATGTATTGGATAATCTTACATATTTAATTTATGGTTCCGTTCTTATCTCTTCACTTCTATGAAACGCTCTATAAGCTAGTAAAATAATAAAGTATTCGGTAAAAGCTATACTTCAAGACTAGATCTTCGGTCATTAATATCGCTTATTGTCACGCTTAACTTAACTATGTGACTGGTATGAGTCGTTTATCTTTGCTTTCCGACTTTTGACAGTTGTTTCAAAATAAACTGCCTCTAATTAGAAATTGTTTTACATCCGCCAGAACAACGACATTACAAACGTTGAGTCTTAGTTTGATAAGTTTATAAACAATTATACCACAGTCGAAGAGTAACAAGACTGAACAAGTTACATCCCAGAATGCATCATCTAGATCAACCCTCTAGTGATGTGGTGCCCCAGAATACTCGTTTACGGACTTTTCTCTTTTTTCGCATCCTCTCATCTTCCTGTTAGAGCAGGAAGTGTGTGCATTTTTCGTTTCGCCTAAATGAGCCTTAAGGAATGTTTTCCGATTTGGAAGAATAGGTTGGCGTTAACAACCGATATTTTGGAAGTGTAGCAAACAATCGGTATAAACGTTTATCGATCAAGTGAGAGCAAACTCGGTAACAAGTCATTAAGAGAGTCTGATTGGTCTTTTGAAATAGATGTAAAAACAAAGGCCTTATTTCTTGTTGGACTACTTTTTGCTAAACTTCTGAGTATTTGATGCAGTTATTGAACAGAAACAGCAAACGAAATTTGTTATTGACTGGCAACTCATTCATGAAAAGCATAGCAAATGCTAAATAATGGATATATTTCACATAAATAGTTTTAATAAACTATGAGTAACTTCTACGACTTATAATTTATTCAAACACAAAAAGTATATAGTTATTATTCTTATTATTATGTAAAATTATATAATTATTATTCTTATTATTATGCAAAACTATATAGTTATTATTCTTATTATTATTTAAAACTATATAGTTATTATTCTTATTATTATTTAAAACTATATAATTATTTTTTATTATTATTCAAAACTATATAGTTATTATTATTATTATTTAAAACTATATAGTTATTATTATTATTTAACACTATATAGTTATTATTCTTATTTAAAACTATATAGTTATTATTCTTATTACTATTTAAAACTATATAGTTATTATTATTATTTAAAACTATATAGTTATTATTATTATTTAAAACTATATAGTTATTATTATTATTTAAAACTATATAGTTATTATTCTTATTAAGTTTGGAAATACCATTTTATTTATTTTATTATTATTTCCTTTCATGAAAAATTACGAAAAACGTATTTCTCCAATTTCCTGAAAACAATCTATGTTGCATCTAAGCTTAGAAGGTCATAAAAATGAGTCAGTTATTGTTAAGAAGTATTGCTGAATAATTATGATTTAATAACACATATATCAATGATTATTATTGGAATAGTTCTACAACAGACATCATAATGACTGCTCATCTGTGGCTCAGCAGTAAACCAGAGGGCTTACAATGCTCAAAATCGGGTTCTGATACTCGTGGTGAGCAGAGCAATTATTAAACAGAAACAGGAAACGAAATTTATTGTTGACCGGAAACCAATTCTTGAAGGCACGACAAATGATAAATAATGGACATAGTTCACATAAAAATTCGACTCTAACCGTTTTAGTACTTAACAAGCTACAGATAATTTTCCAAAATGTATCACTTAGATCTACCCTCTAGTCAGTATAGTAATATAGTCCTCCAGGGCACTCGTTTACGTTGTTTTGTTTTTCGCATTCTCGCATAAAACCGATGAACATTTATTTAATAAAGTGCTCAGAGGAGTTTAGTAACACTGATAAACGTGTATTTAAAACACTACATGCGTTAATGAAGGCACCTTGATGTAACAAACTGACTAGAAATACTTAAAGTTCAAGTTAATACACCAGAACTCTAAAATATATAATGAGATATAAATACTGATAAGTGGTGCGATCAAAACGAAACTGTTGCTTCTTGCAGGGAACGACACCAGACTTTTTATGTTACAAGCCCTCAAACTTACCACTGAGCTACCAAGAGCTGTAATTCAAAGAACTCATTAAGACACCATAAAACATAATAAATAACTATCATGTGGTGCCTAACAAATCAATTTGGTCGCAAGTTTAAATCTTTTCACCGAAAATGCACGCCCATTCAGTGGTGGAGACGTTATAATGTGTTGGACAATCCCACTTTTTGTTAGTAATAGAGTATATCAAGAGTTGGCGGTGTGTGGTGTTGATTAGTTGCCTTCCTTCTAGTCTATCACTTATAAATTATAGACGACCAGTGCAGATAACTCTCTAATAGCTTTAAATGAAATTAAAAACAACAAAAAATAAACAGTCTCTCAGTGATTTCACGGACATGACTAACTAACTGCCAATCAAAGTGTGAAGTAGCTTGGACTATACCATACAAAATAGTTGAACAAATATCCGCTTGTATTACGACGAAACATATTTGCTAAAAACTGACTGAGGTAAATTGTTTTCACACACTGTATTTTTAGGGGACGGAACTAAATTTCTTAAATGTGTATATATATATATATATATATATATTATATATGCTAGCGTATAGCCCGTCAAAAATGACAGAGAAAGTGCTACCACCCCAACTCCGTAGTATATCCTAACCTCACATTTCATAGCAAACTGAATTAAATAATTTTGCGAAATCAAGCTTGACCGACAAAGAGGCAGAAAACTGCAGTCGAGACAGCCAAACGTCAGTAAATTCCTTTGTGAGCCAATCAAAATTAAGATCATTCATGAAATAAATTTGTGGCGTATTCAGAGAATAATTATTGGAAAAATTAGTTAGATTAACAACTTCTAATATATAGAAAAACCAGTGCGTTTTGGTAACGCTACGTTCCAACAATGGCTTTTATGTAATGTTTTTCAGCAACAAAAGTGCAATACAATATTGTTGTTAGTCTATGTACTGAATGTATAAAACGAAATGTAACAGACATCAAAACCGGAAAAATGTTTGTTGATTTCTTAATTTAGTCTCCGTTGATTAAAGAGGTTTGTTTTTTATAGCTTAATACAGAAATGATTTAAGTTTAAAATTGAATCGATATTTTTGCTTTCATTATAAATTTTATGTACTTGGTTCTAGGTTAGGTAAAAATAAAAACTAAACGTGGCATGAATTTAGTTTGGAGGAAGAGAAAGCAGCATCATATTTGCCTGCTCTTCCCCACTGGGGTGCTGGGGAACGGATGTTCCCCCTTCAACCTAAGTTAGGTGATTCCACACTACGTCTTTTCTTTAGGCTTATTGTACGAACACTCACTAGACTTATAAGATTATATGGCACACACACACACACATCCTCCTCACGGCCCCCATCACTAAAATCGTAATGATTAGACAGTAATCGAACTATTCTTCATTTTGGTTTTTATGACTCCTCCTATTTCGAGAAATCAAGCGTGACGTGACGTGACACACACTGCCTTTTATATAGGTTAGATATAGTATTGAGATCTGCATACTGATAAGTGCTGGGACCGCAACGAAGCTGTAGCTTTTGAAACATCCAAATACCTGTTAAGCTATCTCTTTTTATTCGCTATGAAAACTGTGACTTTCAGTTTCAAAAAATATCTTTGTATCGTTAAACGCAAAACTGCACAGATATCTGCACTGTACCTACTGCAGGAAACATTGTAAAATGTATTTCAAATGTGACTTTCAGTTTAAAAGAAAATGCTTTTGTATCGTTAAACGCACAAATGTACAATCGGCTATCTGCACTGTACCTTCTGCAGGAAACAAAACCAGATTTTTCGTGTTACAAGCTCTCAAACTCACCGCTGAGTTATCGGAGAGTCTAAAGAAAAGAGCTAAAGAAGACAATGGTGGAAAAGTAAAGTACTAGAGAAGACTACAGTGGAAATTCAGTCATAATTTAAACAGTTTGGAATTTATGATGAGTTAAAAAACAACAACTCCAGACCCACGAATAGACAAGATACAGATTAAGAAAAACTAAATCCGACATTCTCCTTTAAAAATTCTTAATTTTTATTTCATATAGAGTCCATAATTCGTCAAAGAAGTTGTCCTAAAAAAAAATTTGTATTTTTTGAACATTTCAACAAATTGTGAGATTTCGAAATCTCTTATTCAATCTCCATGGTGATTTTGCACATGTTCTCTGTTTGGATTACAAATTTAGATTACATTAGAATACTGGATTCCATATAATGATCATCGAACCTGTGAGCGCTGGTTTGAATCGAAGATCCATATTCCACGACATTTGGATACTAGAAGAAGTAGCTCTGCCAATTGTGAGGTCAGTTGGAGCAGGAAGGCCTGTTGGAGTTTGTAATATATAAATTAATAGAAATATGTTAGAAATAAGAAAATGCAGAGAAATTAGATTTTATCCCTAACAGACAGTAGGTTATGCATATCAATATATGTTTGTAACTCTAGAAAACAGTAGGATTAACTGAGACAAGTGTCTATCTCTAAAAAACAGTAGGATTAACTGAGACAAGTGTCTATCTCTAGGAAACAGTAGGATTAACTGAGACAAGTGTTTATCTCTAGAAAACGCTAGAAATGAATGTCTATCTCTAGAAAACAGTAGGATTAACTGAGACAAGTGTCTATCTCTAGAAAACAGTAGGATTAACTGAGACAAGTGTCTATCTCTAGAAAACGCTAGAAATGAATGTCTATCTCTAGAAAACAGTAGGATTAACTGAGACAAGTGTCTATCTCTAGAAAACGCTAGAAATGAATGTCTATCTCTAGAAAACAGTAGGATTAACTGAGACAAGTGTCTATCTCTAGGAAACGCTAGAAATGAATGTCTATCTCTAGAAAACAGTAGGATTAACTGAGACAAGTGTCTATCTCTGGGAAACGCTAGAAATGAATGTCTATCTCTAGAAAACAGTAGGATTAACTGAGACAAGTGTCTATCTCTGGGAAACGC